TGCTAGACAAAAGGTCAGCAGTTTGAATCCACCAGTTGCTCCTTGGAAGCCCTATAAGGCAGTTCTGCTCTGTCCTTTAGGGTCTGTATGAGTTGGAACTGACTTGATGTCAATGGGTTTTTTTTTTGTTTTGTTTTGTTTTTTGTTTTATTCCAATCCTTATTGATTTTTTTCTCCTCTGCCAACTCCTTGAATACAGTGGCTGTATATTATCTTTTTTTCTCCCTGGTTTTGTTAATTACTGGTGAGTAGGCTGCAACTCATGGCAGCCTTATGTATAACAGAATGAACTATTGCCCAGTCCTGCACCGTCTGGATGATCGTTGGTATATTTGAGTCTGTTGTTGCAGCTGTTGTGTCAGCCCATCTCACTGAGGGTTTCCCTTGTTTTATCTCCTACACTGTCTAAAATGTCAATACCTTGAACATAGTAGGGGACCAATAAATGTTTATTGAATTGTTGAACAGATTGAAGCCTAATTTGAATAGCTTTTCTTTCCCCTTTTAAGTATTTGATAAAGCTCTCAGCATTATTGGGATTCTCACTGGCCCAAAAGTAGCTTGGTTAGTGAAAAGATGAACTAGACTTGAAGTCAAAACACTGGGACTATAACCTCTGCCATTTGCCACCTATGTGATTTCGAGGAAATTACTTAACATGTATAAGCCTCCCTTTCTTAAAATGGGGATAATGCCTATATTACCTGCTTTTAAAAGTTATCTCCTGCTATAATTTTATGTAAAATCACTTTGAAAATCAAAAAGGGTCCATGTAAGGTATTGAAATTATCAGACCTTTTTTCTTCAGGATCAGGTATTTTATTTGGATTTAGAATCTAACTATTTAGCATTTTAATGTCTCTTCTTCAGTAATTTAGTTTCCTCTTAGAGTGCAGAAGATTTCATGTGGATGGCTGGTTGAAAGGAGAGTTTCGTGGAGACATAATTTAGATGGATTCATGCAAATTTTAATGCGTGCTTTCTTGTCCTGTTTTCATACCCGTAACACTAGTTAGTAAACCCCCATGTGGCATTGGGAAAGTCTTGATGAGAATTGCTTCTTTGCACAGTTTCTAGGGACTCTCTTTTATTCCCAGTATCATAAGTGAGGTAAGTCCTTTCGGAAACCTGTGTTTGGACCTTGGGGATGATGGGTGAGTTTTAAGGGCTTCTTGCCTTCATTATAGTATTTAGAAAGTCTCTTGATATCAGCTGGGGATGAGAGAGTAGGGCTTAGGAATATGAATGTGAAAGAAATCCCATTTGTTGGTATTGTTCGTCAGGAAATGGAGAAGCCTCCAGTCCTAATTACTGAAGGCTAATGGACTTAAAAATTAATAATGAAATACCTTGTCTGAGGTATTCTATATTTAAAACCCCCAAACAGAGGCCTTGCTCTGCATCAAACACCAGAAGCAAGAGGATAAATTGGTATTAGACTAACATAGATAATATTGATCCTGCGTCTTGTCTGCACAGATATTTCATTAACCATGGAGCCAGTGTGGGTATTGTGAATAGTGAAGGTGAAGTCCCTTCTGACCTTGCAGAAGAGCCAGCCATGAAGGATCTTCTTCTGGAGCAAGTGAAGAAGCAAGGTAACCTAGGGGATCACAGAGGGCTGGGAGAGTCTCAAACACTGCCCCTTATTTAAAAAAAAAAAAAAAAAAGTTTGCTGTGTACAGGTTTCATCATCATGTGACAGGAGAGGGTAAGATCTACCTGCAGAGTATTAGTCTTCAGTTACCACCAGCATCATGTAATCTCTTAATAACCCACACTCAACTGTCGGCAAAATGCCAAAGGAGTGACCAATCATTCCTTGTTTTTTGCTGTTCTGAGGTTGTATACCATCCTTTAGTTAGGAGTGACCTGGCCATTCTTTGATGATAGAGATTACACCAACGGGGAACATTTCTTACTGTGTGCACATCGTCTTAGATTTTGCCATACATTGTAGAGTCCAAAGAAAGGCTAAGACACTATATAAAATTGACTAAATTTGGCTTATTATTGTGTGTCTTTTCTCCTGATGAGAGTTGAGAGTGATGCTGGTGAAGATATTTATTGCAACCTCTGAAATTATTTTTAGCCAAGCTAATCGTGAAAATTATTCTGGCAATTTGTTGAAGTAAGGAAGCTAAACTCTAAAAATTATTATTATTTATTTTATATTTGTAGAACAAATCCATTTCAGGGACTAAGGCAAGATTCTTCTACTAGAGGTCTCTGGGTTCTTTTAATTTAAAAATGTCGTAAATAACACGAGGCAGATAGCAGGGAGAACAGGTCTTAGGAAATATTCGTTGATACTATCATAAAACCCTGTGGACAGGATTTGTAGTGGTTTTTAGATACAGTGGTTAAGAGCTCGGCCGCTAACCAAAAGGTTGGAAGTTCGAATCC